AGCCTGTACAAGCTGATCCCCTTATGTATTTCCAACTCAGCACGTCCCAATCTTTAGCCTCTTGATGAGCGGACCCCACAGTATTTTTTTGGGCTTCACAGGGATCTTTAGCTTAGGTAAAAGAAGCATTGCTGCAGAGCAAGTGGGGAAGGAGAAGTAGAGAAGGGAAATATACCCAGTTACTACCAGTTTAACTATAAAAGTTAGCATAAAGGATAATACAATAACATTGGTTAATAACTAAATACACACACACACACACACACACACACACACACAGAGGTAACCCCTGCTTAGTGCTTTTTATTGGTTCCTAAAAAAACGAGCGTTAAGCGAAATGAGCATTAAGTGAAACCAAAAAGTATCTGACGATCCACGATGGTGACCACAAATGTTTTTAATGACCCAAGATGGCAACCATGAGTGTTATAACGAAACTCACTGAGCTCTAAGTGAAATCAGGTATCAATTTAAAATGAGTGTTATAATGAAATAGACCCTGGACTTCAGAAAAGCAGACTCGGATTCTCTCAGGGAACTCAAGGGCAGGTTCCTGTGGGAAGCCAGTCTGAAGGGGAGAAGAGTCCAGGAAAGCTGGCTGTGCTTCAGAGAAGCCTTACTGAGAGTGCAGGAACAAACCATCCCGATGTGCAGGAAAATTAGCAAGCCTGGCAGAAAACCAGCTTGGCTTAGCAGGAAACTCTTCAGTAAATAAATCACAAAAAGGAATCAAGTGCAAACTTGAACAAATAACTAGGGAGAAGTATAAGAACATTGCTCAGGCATGCAGGGATGAAGTCAGGAAGGCCAAAGCGCAATTGGAGTTGCAGCTAGCAAGGGTTGTGAAGGGGAACAAGAAAGGTTTCTACAAGTGTGTCGGTAGCAGGAGGAGGATCAGGGAAAGTGGGGGTCCCTTGCTGAATGGGGTAGGCACCCTTGTGACAGAGGATATAGAAAAGGCTGAAGTGCTCAATGCCTTTTTTGCCTCAGTCTTCACAGGCAAGGTCAGCTCCCAGACTACTGCACTGGGCAGCACGGTTTGGGGAGGAGGAGAGTAGCCTCAGTGGTGAAAGAACATGTTAAGGACTATTTAGAAAAGATGGATGTGCACAGGTCAATGGGGCCAGATGGGACGCACCCGAGGATGCTAAAAGAGTTGGCTGATGAGATTACAGAGCCACAGGCCATCATCTTTGAAAACTCATGGCAATTAGGAGACGTCCCAGATCAGGGGCAGGCAAAATAAGGCCCAAAGGCTGGATTTGGCCCACCAGGCCATTCTATCCAGCCCATGGGGCCCCCCAAATTCAGAAAATATTTATCTCCCCCAGCTACCTGTCAAAGATGACAGGAGCCAGGGGCAGGAGGACCCAGCAGCCCAGCCCTGCCCCACCCTCAGCCATCTCCCTGTTTGTCTGCCTTTGCACTGCTTCAGCACCACATGGCTCCTGGCTGCATCGTCAGACCATGGGAGCACGGGGCTCACACTGGTACCCCGCAGCCAGGAGCAGGAGGGCTGTGTGTGTGTGTGTGTGATTGCAGGGTGAGTCCCACATGCACACTTCACCATACACATGCACCCACACCCCCCCTTGCACTATCATATAAGCAGACTCCCACACCCACACCCCCTCACATACCCAGCCACCCTCCCCCACACGCACTTTTCCCCACAAACTCCATAGCTACCCACACCCCACATATCCACATAGACACCCACATGCTCCTTCACCCCACACCTCCCACACCTATCCATTCCCTACAGACACACCCTCTCCCACACCCGACATACCCACATACCCACAGCCCCCCACAAACCTATACACCCCCTGATTCACCCGCAATATACAAGAGTAAGACTCCATTTTAAGTTATTGTGCAATTACCTCTATGTACACTACACAACCATATGTAAATCAGGACAAAAAAAGTTTTTGAAATAAAATCAATGAATATTGCAGATGTTCACTTTTTAGAATATAATTTGGTATTTTTCTGGTTCTGAGATGGCAAAACCCCTTGCTGAAAGGAGTACTTCTGGGAGCAAGGCGAGGGACTTCTGGTGGCAAAGGTCAGGGTTAGGGGGGTGGGACTTCCAATCACAAGATGGTTATCAGGGGGCAGGGCATCTGTCAAGGGGCGGGGCTACCCCAGCAGCCCTCAACAGCTCGCCAAAACTCGGTAAGCAGCCCTCCATCTGAAATAATTTACCACCCCTGTCCCAGATGATTGGAAAGGGGCAAACGTAGTGCCCATATTTAAGAAAGGGAAGGAGGAAGGATACAGGGAACTACAGACCTGTCAGCCTCACCTCAGTCCCTGGAAAAACCATGGAGCAGATCCTCAAGGAATCCATTTCTAAGCACTTGGAGGAGAAGGTGGTGATTAGGAACAGTCAGCATGGATTCACCAGGGGCAAGTCATGCCTGACCAACCTGATTGCCTTCTATGATGAAGTGACTGGCTCTGTGGATGTGAGGAGACCAGTGGATATGGTATACCTTGAGTTTAGTGAGGCTTTTGATATGGTCGCCCACAACATTCTTGCAGGCAAGCTAAGGAAGTGTGGGCTGGATTAATAGACTGTAAGGTGGATAGAAAACTGACTGGAGTATCGGGCTCAGAAGGTAATAATCAATGGCTCGATGTCTAGTTGGTAGCTGGTATGAAGTGCCCCAGGGGTCAGTCCTGGGGCCGGGTTTGAATGACCTGGAAGATGACATAGAGTGCACCCTCAGCAAGTTTGCAGATGACACCAAGCTGTGGGGAGTAGTAGATACTCTGGAGGGTAGGGCTAGGATTCAGATTGACCTTGACATATTGGAGGATTGGGCCAAAAGGAATCTCATGAGGTTCAACAAGGACTAGTGCCAAGTCTTGCTCTTAGGACAGAAAAACCCCATGCACCGGTGCAGGCTGGGGGCTGACAGCCTGGGCAGCAGCTCTGCAGAAAAGGACCTGGGGGTGACAGTGGACAATAAGCTGAATATGAGCCAACAGTGTGCCCTTGTTGCCAAGAAGGGTAATGGCATCCTGGGCTGTACTGGTAGGTGTGTTGCCAGCAGGTCAAGGGAAGAAGTGATAATTCCCCTCTATTCAGCACTGGTGAGGCCATATCTGAAGTACTGTGTTCAGTTTTGGGCCCCCCACTACAGAAAGGATGTGAAAAAATTGGAGAGACTCTAGTGGAGGACAGCAAAAATGGTGAGGGCTGGGGGACATGACTTGTGAGGAGAGGCTGAGGGAACTGGGCTTATTTAGTCTGGAGAAAAGAAGACAGAGGGGAGATTTAATAGCAGCCTTCAACTACATGAAGGGAGGTTGAAAAAATGATGGAGCTGGGCTGCTCTCAGTGGGGGAAGATGACAGAACAAGGAGCAATGGGCTCAAGTTGCAGCAAGGGAAGTTGAGGTTAGATATTAGGAAGATAGTAAAGCACTGGAACAGGTTACCCAGAGAGGTGATGGAGTCGCCATCCTTGGAGGTTTTTAAGACTCGGGTAGACAAAGCCTTGGCTGGGGTGATGTAGTTGGGGCTGGTCCTGCTTTGTGCAGGGGGTTGGACTAGATGTGACCTCCTGAGGTCCCTTCACACCTTCATTTTCTATGATTCGATGATACTGGGGTTCTGTCGGGATCTGCCTAATGCTGTGTAATAACATTCTCAATGAAGGAAGTATAATGTCAACAGTGAGAAAGTAATGATGAAGACATATTTGTCTAGACCAGCTTGAATTGCTCAGCAAGATGTGCTTATTTGAGAAACTTATTTTTAATACAGCCCAGAGCTGTGTTACGCATTTTAAGGATGAAGAACATAAGTCATGTTCTAAGATAGGGGCCAATATAATGGCAAGCAGTATATCTGCAAAGGATGTAAGTGCCATGATAGACAACCAAGTGAGTTTGAACTTGCAGTCTAATACCATAATGGAGAGGGTGAATGCAATCCCTGGTTTTATTAGCAGAAGAATTCCAACTAGAAGCAGGGAGGAGGCATTACTTCTATAGATGATAACATCTATAATGAGATGATGGGTGGAGTGGAAAGTCCAGTGCCAGTGTCCATACAGATGCTGAAATTTTGGAAAGACATCAGAAAAGATTTACAAGAAGGATTTGGGGTCTGGAAAACCATCCTGATTTGGGAATGACTAGAGAAGCTCAAATGTATTTAGTTTCTGCAAAACAAGGTCAAGTGGTTGCTTGATTATGGTCTAGAAGTACCTGGGGAGGAGATTTCCAATGGTATATAACGCTATAATCAAGAGGAAGAAAAGGAAAATTAAGACTCAAAGGCTGAAAGCTGAAGCTAGATCAGTTCAGAGTAGGAAAATAATGCAGAAGTTTAACCACAAGTGTGATTAATTATTGGAACAAACAACTGGAAACACTAATAGTTTCCTTTTCAAAGACACATAATAAAGCTTATGAGTTTATCCAGAAATTCTTGGGGAAGGATCCATGCTGTGCTCTGAGCCAGAACATGTGATCAGAAGGGCCCTGGCTAGCCTTGGCGTTAAGTGCTGGGTGTGTCTACCCATGCTCATTTACTGTGCAGTAACCAAAATTACTGCACAGTATAGGCACCCATCTACACATGCATGCCCATGCGGCACAGTGAATAAGGCCACTTATGCTGACCTGAGTGTAGTTTTGATACCGGCATGATGCAGGTATCAAATTTAAGCCCGATTACTTACTGCGCTTTAAGGCATGTGTAGATGCCGTACTGCGCAGTAACACTATGTGCGTGGACTGACTTGGGACTAACTTTAGTTCCAAGTCAGACTACACACAGCGTGAATGTGCTTTAATGCCTGCACATGTAGACGCCAGCCTATTCCTACTTACTGTGCAGTAAATTTAAGCTCCTGTAAATACACATGTAGACACGCCCATTGAGTTTCATTTTGCTTTGCTTATAAAAGTAAAATAAGTACAACCCATCCTATCCCACGCCTATTTAGAAGACAAATCTGGTATTGCTTCCTTCCCCTGTTGAACTAGAAGGCAAAGCCACAAAACTGTTTAAGCAGCAGCTGTATCCTAGGCAGATGCTCAGACGACAGCAGACCTGCGGGTGAGTTCATTTTATTTCAGAGTTGAGCTTCTCAAAAAAGATTTGCATAAGGGTTTCAAGGGGTTTCTCTTCCTTTTTTTTTTGTAATAGATGGTTCACTGGTGTAACACATACACAAAATGCATAAGCATTTTGTATTGCAAAGTGTGCTATTTGTACAGCAAACTATGTTGCTGTAAAATATGGTTTTAGTTTAACTATGATTGTCTATTTCTTTTCTTGGTTTGTATCTGCTTTGCTGTATATATATTCCTGTTCTATATACTTGCTGTGTATCTGTGACCTCTCTCCTCTGGCTTGGTGATTTCAAGAGAAACTGCAAGTACGCAGATACCTGAGGCAAATCAGCCCTTAGGTTTAGAAATCACCCTAACCCCCTGCTCTTTACTGTAAGCAGGAAACCTGGCTTCTCATCACAAGCAAGGGGAGATCAGACCCCCCACCTAATTCACTGAATTGGGCATTGTTCTTTTTTAAAATGAATTGGCTAAGAAGAAAGACTGAAAACCTTTAAAGCCATGGTTGGAAAAGCTTGTGCGATGCCACACCAGTTATATAGGAGCAACTCAGTTGAGGCTGAGCGTCTTTCCCCTGGGACCACTGAGAGCTGAAAAGCTGAACTGGGAGCTGGAGAAACTGGTCCCTCCCCTTCACTGGAGAAGCAAGCTGAAGCTACGTGATGGGAAAGCCTCAGGTACAGAGAAAGAAAGTCAGTGTCAGGGTTTGAGACCCCTATTCCCTGCCTCTTCTTTTCCTTGGTTTTGAGTGGGATGATACCATAGGGGTATTAATCCCTGGAGCATGCTGACCAAGGTTAGAGCCTGGCACTTTTGCTGGCAGATTTGGGCCAGGATGGCACCTGGCACAGTTTGGGCCAGGGTGAGAAGCCTGGCACAGTTTGTTGCTGAAGAGGGTCAAGAGTCTCTTGATTTAATAAGCCAATCTAAGAATCCCAGCCAGAGAATGGGGGACTTGTGGAGCTATAATGCCTACTATTAGTCTACAGCCTGACTCCCCTAAGCACTTGAAACTGCATATACACACACACCGGAGACTTAAGTAAAGTTAGATAACAAGAATATATTGTAATGGAAATGGCAAAAACGAGCATGTGAACTTGACAGGTTAAGAGGTTATTAACATAAATACGTGGTGTCTATGGACACAACACTACAGGCAGTTTGAGTCACACAAACACACAGAGGGCGGGATGGCTCTGACCTGTGCTCACGCACTTGCTCCCTGATCTGATGCAGTCCGTCCATGGACTGGAGCTGCCCTCGCTCCCTCCTTCTCCCTAACCCTAACGCGTACCCCTTTAGGGAACTTGGCTCTCCACAAATGAGGTTGGGGTAATACTTCGCCATCCTTCCGGTGATCTTGCAGGTTGGTCTCCTGGGCTAAGACCCAATTCCCAAGCTAATTTTCCCTGGGCTAAGACCCAATTCCTCCTCATAGTCTTCATCAGGGCAACAACCAGCCAGGCAGACTCACGCCCCAACTTTTGATGACCTCCTGCAGGCAGACAATCTTTCATCATACCTCAGACCCCTGCATCCACAGAAGCACTCCACAGTTATACCCCATGAACACACACTGAGTGATGCCCACACTCACACACCACACACAGACCCACAGGTGCAATTTCTTTCCTTCTTAGCGGTCCTACCATGCCTGCCAATCACTTGCATGTGCAATTAATTGGCGAGGAGCACTGCCAGTCATGCATCAATCAACCTTACAAGCAGGTGAGCAGCTCACTATAGTTACAATTTGCACCACTGCTAGGATCTCTACTGAGCTTCCTCCACTCAGTGAAATAGGTCATGATATCATTGGAGTCAAGAGCTCACGAAGTCCGGAACCTTCTCCCCCGACTCCTAGTCAAAGCAAGCCTTACATCCACGAGCAGTTTTTCAATCACCAATACCCCTAGGGAAGTCAAGGCCAAAACTGGGGCATGCAGGCAGCAGATCGCAGCTGCGTTGCACCGCCGTCACTGCTGCAAGATCCCAGCCCCAGAGCAGCTCCTTGCCCAGCTGGGTGCCCTGCCAGTGCTGCGGGGGCCAGTCTCCGTGGAGACCCTGGCCCCGGGCTGTCATGGCCCCGGTGCTCCTGGGGTCTCCATGGTCACTGGCTGCAGCAACACAGGCAGGTGCTGCTGGGAAATAGAGTGCACCACGGGCCCTATCTGGCCTGCAGGCTGGACTTTGCCTGCACTAGACCTAGGTGCTGAGCACAGAAGTATTTTATGGCAAACCAATGGGCAACACTAGTGAAGCAGGAACTGGGATAAAGCCCCTGCTATGAACCCGACAAACTGTCCCAGCTGGGAGAGAACTCACTTGAGCATGCCTGGAGGGGACCACGTGGCCGTAGGTGCATCAGGAAAAAGGTCTAGGGACAACTTGGGGATGGGGCAGGCCTCCTAGGGCACAGGGTCATGTACCCAGAGGAGCCCATCCTTATTGACCCAGTGGACCAGCAGGGCAGTTTAAGAGAGAGCCAGAAGATGGGCTGGCATTTGTCATCCCCTGGAGAGGGGAGAGTACACCACAGGCAGAGAGCTATACAATCCGCGTGGAGTGGTGGGACCAGGTGGCCAAACCAATGAATCCCACAGAAGCTGGGATGAGCCTTAAGTGAAGATCTAACTGACAGAGAGAGATAAGTGCAGCGGGCAGCTGGGTGAGGAAGGGGCCAGTCTGCCAATTCTGGGCATGGGCAGAGGTGGCATCCATACCCGAGGCACCCGGGGAAGGCGCAGCAATGCGGGGCATTGTGAGCAGATTCTGGCAAGCTGTCAGGAGGCCAGACATGAATGAATCTGAGAGATATTCCAAAAAAATTGCCAGGATTAGGTAAGAAATGAGAAGGACATGAATTTATGGACTGTGAATGAATTTATAGAAATGACCAAGAAATAGGAAGGAAATTAATTTATGAATGAATTTATAGGAATGATTAGGAAGCACAAAGTAAACTAATTATAGGTTTTGAATCAATTTGGGGAGGCAAATGGGAAATCCATAAATGAATTAACTGATGGACTAATGGAATGAATTTATAAAATGAATTAAAGAAAAAGGAGTGAAGTAATTTGGGGACTCTGTGAGTGAGTGTGCCTAATGTTATGTGTATGAATAACGAATCAACTTAACACCTGAATATTGATTTCATGAGGGAAGAGACCAGAGGAGTTGACCAAAGACATAAGGAATATGGAGGGAACCCAGAGAGGGAGGCCCCAGACAGGAACCCTAATGTAGGACCATTGGTGACACGTAGGGGGTGCGTGTGGGTGCATATGCACCTCCTGAGCATGGCAGTGCGTCCTCTTCAGGTGGTCACCACTTGCCATTGCCCTCCCTTGCCACCAACACCACTGGCGGCACCTGTGGGCGGTCCATGATCTCTATTGGCTGCTGCTGCCGCTGCCGGCAGTCTCTACGGGTGGTCACCGACCAATGGCCAGTGCTCACCACCCTTTCTTCCTCCCTCCCTGCCGTCAGGAGCTCCCCACTTTCCTCTGCTACGCTCCCGCTTGCAGGAGCTTGCTGTGTGCCCCCAGCCTCTGTGGGCATGCAGCATTCATGGGGGAGAATCTTTCACCACAGACCAAAGAGCAAAGGACCAGGTGTAGGGGAAGTAGAGCTCTGCAGAAGAACCAGTGGCCCAGCCAGATGGACTCTTGCCCAAGGGATCATCTAACTTCCCCAAGAAAACCAAAACATCAAGGTATGGCAAGTGTAACCTGGGCAGTACTCCAAGAGGTACCCCCTCTCCAATTAAAGGGATCAGAGCAGGTGCACAAGTGCTGTGGGAGGTGTAGAGACTCTCCTCCCCTATAGAACAGATCCAGACCACCAATGGAGACTTAACCATATACCTTTTAATGAGAGAACAGTATTGGGAACATAAGCAGTATGAACCAGGGGGTATAGGGGACGCCCCGAGGGGCAGGATTCAACAAAGGTTAGACACTTACAATCATAGACATATTCATCCAGTTGACAAAAGACAGGGTTAACAAAATATAAAACACAGACAGCATAGCAAACAATGCTGGTGGACGAAATATAAAAGGTACAAAATACAAAACGTCAAATAACAAGGAGTATAGGCTTAGGTACCTGGAGAGGGGGGAAAACACAGTGACCACTCGCCACTGCAACAAGAATTTCTCCCTGTCACTTCACTCACCCAAAGGCATCCCAGCTAGGACTTGAACTCAGATCTCCCACATGGGGGCAGAAACTCTACCACATGGTCACCAGCTGTGGGACTGCTAGGGGTCTTGACCTTCCCAGACCCCCGGCCTCATGTCGAGCTGCCTGGCCTCATGCTGGAGGAGCAGGAAGCAGAGCTGGGAATCCCTCAGGTCTTTGCTGGAGCTGGGGAGCCTCTCATAGGGGATCCTGGAGCCCAGCAGGAGCCTCTCCTGCCAGCCGCACGCTGCACTGCTGAGGGTCCCACTGCTGCCTGCAGGTCCTGCTCCTTCAGGCTCTTCTGGCGCACTGCTCCTGCCCCGCTGGCTCAGCTCTTGCCAGCTCTGTGAGGCTCCTTCCTTGTGGCCCCTCGCTGGTCTCCTCTGAGTCAGCCCACACTGCCCCTTTTATCCCCCTCCAGGTGACCCAAGGGAGCAATCAGGGGACATGGAGGGTGAGTCTCTGGGGCCTGATGGGTGAGGAAAGGGAACCCCAAGCCCTTCAGCCATCTTTTACCCCTTCAAAACCCCTGGGCTAAATCACTACCAGCTAATCCGTCACATAAGCAAGTGAGGAGGTGAGACGAAGGTCAGGCGGGTCCCAACACAGCGGTGCCCTAAAAAAGTTCACATGCTTACAGCTCAGCACAGTGTGTCTGACTCATGGCTCTCCAGGATATAAGCTGCTCGTGGCAGTGCTGCCAGTCATCTTTTGCCCAGTAGTCTGAGCTGGGAAGTGGAAAACATGGTTTCTAAGGCAATTCCAATCCAGATGCCCTGCTTCCCAGGGTAC